AACCCTCTCTACCCTTCCCTCCCCTTGCCATCCCAGTCCGTGGCCATGTTCTGAGCCCACAAAACGGACCAATTTGATTGGTCTGTGAGCAACTGTGGGACGTCTGAGGGGGTGTTAAAGTCAGCGACGGGAGCTTTGCCTGGTGCTAGATTCCAGGTAAGTAAAATTTTTATTTTACAGGTTTGGAGGGGGGGGCCTTTACACTGGAAAGGTACCCCTTTCATAAGGGTTGGAGTAACCATTTAGTAAGAGGCATGGGTAAAAGTATTAATATTATTATTACTATTATTATTATCTAAAATAGAAGTGCACGACGAGATCAGTAGAATTTTACATTCCATAAATAGAAGTTTATCCACTAAACTGTGATTGCAAAAGGTAATCTAAAATAGCCACGCTGTACCTTTAAATAAATGAAAGATTTATTTCCAGTTAAATTTTTGCATTTCACAATAATTCTGTGTTTACTGAATAAACCCCATATTATTACCCAAAAAGTTTGTTTTTAATTATGAATAAAACATTTTTTTAAATTCCAGAGCCAGAAAGATGACTAATTATGATGTAATTGCAGGGCAATCAGATGCATTACATGTGGTCTATACAATAAACACTTTTACTGACCTTTTAGGCGAGCGAACAGACACTTCCTGACAGGCTGCTTAGGGAATGCTATCTCTCTGGACTGAGAAGTGAGATGTTGAGACAAACTGAAGTGATAATTTAGTGTGGAAGCACATTTTTCAAAATCACTGCACAAAGGGTTCTAGAGAGAATAGGGCAGCTCAGCAAAACCATTGCTATTAACCCCTGTCCAGCTTGCTTTCATGTCTTTGCTCATCCAGAGGTCCCTGCTTTTTGGATGAAATGTATACACTGTACCAATAGTGATTATCAGGGAAAGAAGCATAGAACTTTTTAGAGGAATTTACTAAACCATTAAATTATGAACTGTCTTGAAGCTACACAAGCTGTGATGGTAGTTGAGACCACAAACATTGGTCACATACCCGGGCACTTCCTCCATTTGTTGGAGATGCCAAACATTGGTGGGAACCATGAGCCATATCTTTTGGTCATGCATAGTATACTACTCTATCAGGATATAAAATCCCATTCCAATCAGAAATATACATTCTAAATATGTTTCTACACTATGTTCCTAAATTGGACAGAATTATTATAATGCATGCATTAAAAGAGGCCAAAAGCTCTATAGCAGGTGCGTGGGAAAAGTCCCAATCCCCAAATATTTTGCTGGTTCTGGAGAGGTTGGCCTCTACTAAAATATAAAAGGATATGCCCTACAAGATGGCAGGATTGGTGGGTTTATATGAAGGAATATGGGCTAACGCTATCAAGTAAACAATGTCAGGTGTTTAATGTATAATAGTATTAACTGATTGTGACGTCTCTGATCTGCATATGTACCTTTATTTTTATGTTTTTGTATTTTATTTATTGTAACACTCTACTTCTATGAGTCATGTGTTATTTACATGAAAATATCAATAAAAATTGAGTCACTGAAAAACATATTATGGACTGTCAGGAATTTTAACTAAATGCTGGCTGAAAAAGATTAAAGTTTAAGAATTTCAGTCTTAAACACTTTTTACAGTGTGGTAGGGGGCATTATGCTGTTGAAAGAGGCAACCTCCATCAGGAAACACTATTGCCATGAAGGGGTGTACATGGTCTGCAGCAATCTCTAGGTAGGTGGTATGTGTCGAAGTATCAGCCACATGAATGCCAGGAAACAAAGTTTCTTTCTCTAATATATTCTACTACCATCTCTTCCCAAGGTAAACAACGCTCACCCTCCCACCCCCCTCCCACCCCCCCACCCCCCCCAGCCATCCAAACAATCTAAAAGAAAACGTGATTCATCAGACCAGGCAACCTTCTTCCCTTACTCCAATTCTGATGTACACGTCCTAATTGAAGGCACTTTTGGCAGAGGACATGGGTCATCAAGGGCACTTTGAAGGTCTGCGGCTACATAGCTCCATACTCAGCAAACTGTGATGCACTTTGTGTTCTGACAACATTCTATCATTGCCAGTATTACATTTATCTGTAGTTTGAGCTACAGTGGCTCTTCTGTGTGATCGGACCAGATGGGCTACTACCCGCTCCCCACGTGCATCAATGAGCTTTGGGTGCCCATGACCCTGAAACTGGTTTACCGGTAGTCCTTCCTTGAACCACTTCTGGTAGGTACTAACCACTACATACTGGGAACACGACAAAAGACGTGCTGTTTTAGAGATGCCCTGATCCAATTGTCTAGCCAAATTATTAGATTTATTTTTCTTGCCCATTTTTCCTGCTTCCAACTCATGAAATTACAGAATTCACTGTTCACTTGCTGCCTAATGTGTCCTAACACTTGACAGGTGTCATTGTAAGATTATCAATGTTATTCACTTCAGCTGTCAGTGGTTTTTAATGTTGTGTCTGATCAAAATATATATATATATATAAAGAGAGAGATTGTAGCCATACTAGTCCAGTGAAGCAGAGGTAAAATAGTTTACATATGTATATATTATTTTACATATTTTATATATATATATATATATATATATATATATATATATATACACATAACCATACTGCAAGGTTCCACCAACTGTGTGCTAAAGTGGAAGTCAGGTGACTTTCTCAACCAATGAGTTATGTCCAAAGTTAGAATTTTATGCGAAAGTAAAAATGTCTGCTTACCTGGCACCAAACAATGGTAGGTAAGTGTCAATCTATTCTTAAGCAGTTTGACAGCATACCAATGTTCTGTTCCTTATAGAATAATATAGATGTACCGTTTGGTATTTTTTTGCCTTACATCGCCCTTACTAACATTTCTTTTTTCTTGGGAAGAAGAGACAAGCAGTTGTTTACCAAAATCTGTTTTTGGTAAAGAGTACCAGGGTTCCCTAGCTGTAATTCCCAAATAGCACAGTACAATTTCTTTTAAATTACTGAAACCACAAAACTCCTCTATTTCACATTTTTATCCCTGTAACAACATTCATAAAGGGAATTTAACTCCCAATATAGTCTGTAAAACACAAACTCTTTACAGACGTGCCATGGTACAACAGAATTACACATGTATTGGACTTTTAGCTCTTTCCAGGATTCTCTTGACTTAACTGTCTTTTATCTGACAGGACTGATATATTTATGAACAAGTTAATTGTATGTAATGTGCATCCTACTAGACCATTTTAAGCAAAGCAACACACACCCCTTGAGTGCAAAAACATACTTCTCAGTACTTCTTGGATGTGTTTTACGTGTCTTTATGCTCTGATGGCCTCAACATTTCTCTGCTCAGACCTATTCAATATCTGAAGGGTTTATGACCACTGATCGACTGTTATAAATATTGTATCTATAGCAACTATATATGGATTCCATCAAACTATTATTCTCTGAATATTCTATCATATTTTATTACATCACTGATAAACATAATAAATAATGGTGTCGCCAACTCTTTTCCACCACCTCTTCCTCAAGTTAAACTTGTGTATACGCAAAGACTGCATTATCCATTATCCACTGCATTATCAGTGGAATCCCAACTTCTACCATCTCCAGCTTTTATTTCCTTTTCAACGTCAATTAAATTCCTCCAGTATTTACAGCTTAAGGACCAAAGAAACACCATTGCCACTCCTCCATCAACAATTTGGTCCTTAAAGCCAGCATGACCTATTCTGCTAACTTGGAACATATTATGATTTTGCAAAGGAACCAAAAAGCTGAGTTTTTGTTGAACGTTCTGGATATTTGATATATGTGTCATACAGAAAGGCTCAGAAGAACACCATGGAAATCTGTTCTGGCAGAGAATCAGCTCTCTGCCCTTACAAAACTAGGTGCCAGGATAAAGTATGGAGAATAGCTGTTATCCTTATATCAAAACTATTCTAAATTTCACAGAGCACTAAGGTATTCAGAGTGGGAAAAGAAGGATATAGCACCATTTCAGATTTATATAAATGCTTTGAAATGTTGAGGTGCTATGCAAAGGTATTAAAGCAACTGCTGCACAATTTCATGTTATAACTCCAAACACACAAATCATCATAAATCTAAATTCATAAAAAGTGGAGCAGTAATCATTAGTGATGTCCCAAACGGTTCGCCGCGAACGGTTCGCCGCGGACTCATCATTGAGTAAACTTTGACTCTGTACCTCACAGTCAGCAGACACATTCCAGCCAATCAGCAGCAGACCCTCCCTCCCAGACCCTCCCACCTCCTGGACAGCATCCATTGTGAAGCTGCATTCTTAGTGAGCTGTCCAGGAGGTGGAAGGGAGGGTCTGCTGCTGATTGGCTGAAATGTGTCTGCTGACTGTGAGGTACAGGGTCAAAGTTTACTCAATGATGAGTCCGTGGCGAACCGTTCGGCGAACCGGTCGGGACATCACTAGTAATCATATAATTACTGCTCCACATTTTATGTATTGGTGTATATTGTGATTTGTGTGTATGGAGGTATAGCACTATATTTTATGGTGTGTATGGTGTGCTGGCTGTGTGCAATGCACGCTATAGATAAGCATTCCATATTACTGTCAGTATTTTGCTATTTTATGGTGGAAATCTGTAAATTGAAATTGGCTATTCTTGTCTGCACTGAGCTTTCTGGAGGCAGTTCAGGCCTGGCTGCTCGGCACTGTTATTAGTTAGGCAGGTAAATTAAGTATAATTGTGAGAGAATGAGGCACAGCTGCTGTCAGGAGATTCCATTACTCTCTCCGTGTTGAAGGCTTCCTCTCACCGCTTTCTCCATTATTTCTACAGCATAAATGTAGGGCACACAAGCAGGGTGTCTGAACCGCTCACTGCAGCCCACATAAAGGTTATACACCAGTCTGTGTCTCACAGCCTGTTGTTGATCTGCAGCCAAGCTCACTATGATGTCTACGTATTTAGGGATGGTCATAAAAGGGGCATGCTCCTTTGTAATGCGTGCCTATCACTAGAAATACTAACTCAAAGAGGATTACTTTGGAAAAAATCTGCTCTCTGAAACATCTCCTACATAGCCTGCTTTGGATATGTACAGCATGACATTAACGGAACACTTCAAGCACCATGATCTCTACAGCGTACTGGTTGGTGCAGGTAGTGTCCAGGCACTACGATCAATATAAATGCTGAAACCTCAGTCTGCCAGGTGCCTCTTCATGCCTCCTCTACAACCTACAAAGAACCGGATGCTAACACTCTCAGCCAATAGATACATCCTTCTCGGCCACTCTGCTCAGCCGATGACCGTCTCCTGTCTGCTACTCTCCCCCATACAGCTAACTCATGCTTGCAGGACCTTTCGCGGACACCTTCTTTCCTTTGGAACAGCCTGCCTACTGCCATCGAACTCTCACCTAGTCTTCAATCATTTATGAAGTGCCTTAACCACTTAAGGACCAAACTTCTGGAATAAAAGGGAATCATGACATGTCACACATGTCATGTGTCCTTAAGGGGTTAAAATCCATATCTTTAGGAAAGCTTATGGCCTCCCAGAGTAACCTCTACCTCACATACCTGTCTCTTGCTTTCTCCTAAAGGGCAGTGCTCTACTCTCTCCTCCAGCTCTGCTTCACTCCCACCTTGTTCTATTGCTATCCCCTGTCCTATTGTTTTTTACACCTCACATCCTCTAGACTGTAAGCTTGTTTGAGTAGGTCTTCAACCTATTGTTCCTGTAACTGTTTGTATCTTTTTCATTTGTTGTTAAATTTTCCCCTCTTATAATATTGTAAAGCGCTGCAGGATATGTTGGCGCTATATAAATACCAAAAATAATAATAATAACAATAAGCTAGCTATGCACTGTAGGGCTCAGTTCAGGTGAACTAACACAAATGTCTGAGCAGGAGTTCCAACTCTCTGTTGCCTGTGTTGAAGGCAGGAAGTGGTGTCCAAAAAACTCCAGGTAAGAAGTCAAATTATTCTAAAATGGTTTGATTACTTACAAGTGGTGGGGGGACTCCTGGCACCAAAGGCACTACAACGCACTGTGGTGGTTATAGTGCTTGGAGTGCACTTTTAACTATACAATAACATTTATGTTCCATTCATATATTCTTGTTAACTTTTGTTGAATGTATTTTGATGCTTTTGTAGGTTTCTAACAAAATATGAGATTGATACCCAAAAGTAATTAAAAAGTCATCCTGTAAACCCATCATGAATGTTTTTTAATTAAATTTAACATTTTTATTATTTACTTCTTTTAAAATGGTTGTTTATATATTTGATTTAAATACTTTATACTAGTGAAGAATATTATGGTAAATTACTAATGCAAACATCCATCAGGACAGAGAACAATAGGTCATCAAAGACCTTTATAAAACAAATTTCTACAGTGATGTTGGGATGATTTTTTGGAGCACCCTATAAAAGCCTTTTTTGACAGAAATTTCCAGAGTGATAGCAACTATATATCCCTTGGTGCATCCGCGGGGGAAGTGAATAGAGGCCTTCGTCTTTTCTCACCTCCTGTCATGGCACATAGCACTTACTCACCGGGGCTACATGGTCTTAGCATTCCAGGAGTGAGGGATGTGCCCGACTCCCTTCCTGGCCGCCGGCTGGTTACTTCATTCTTCGGCAGTGTGTCTCAAGTGCAAGAAGTATCTGTGCACTAGTATGTCCTCTGGTACACACCTCTAGGGCCTGTGAGACGTTAGTTCTCTCTTCATCTTGGGAGAATTCTGATTTGCAGGATTCTCGTGGCTGGTACTGCAGTTGCGCCCTGTTGAAGGACAAGCGTATATCAGGCAGGTGGGAGCTCTCTGAGTAGGCTAATTTTCGGTGTTTTCTTTCACCCCATCTTAAGGGATCTACAAGGTGTTGACTACTCAGCAAAAGTTCACGAATATCATGGAAAAAGGGCTATTATTTAGTATATGGAGCCGGAGCTCCACATAGTCACATTTGTTCAGCAAATAATGCAAATGTTTAAAATTTTCATTCAAGTATTATATACAAGGCTATTTACTAAAGTAAGAATTGAAAGTGAATTCAAAGTGAGGCCAGGGTAGCTGAATTGAAAGCATAGCTGACTTGTTCCAGATTGGCTAGTTTGACCTTAGATCTAAAATTCCACTTTGAATTCACCTTGAATACCTACTTTAGTGAAGAACCCGGTAAGTATCTGTCATCGTGTAATATTTCAGACAAGGAGGGACTACTAAAGCACATAGTGTTAAGAAGAATACAATCTTATTAATCAAAGGCAGAAAATCTGCAGTCTAATAACTAGTTAAGTGGATACTTTGTACATTCACGTTAGGTACAGTGGTGTAGGTAAAAGCACTGTTTATAGGATAGGCTCTAGAAAGTTAACTGAGTATCATGATCGACTGAGTAAGGCGCTGCGGAATAAGCTGGCGCTATATAAATACCAATAATAATAATGGTAATAATTTCTTGATTTGATGAGAAACCCCTGGAGAACTTACAAAGAATGGGGATTTTGAGCAAATGCACCAACTACAAATGATAGTAACTTTTTTGCATTACATTCATTATCTGGAGTATCCCTTTAAAGAGCAGAGCACTGATACTGATGTCCTGGACACTAATCACAGAACTTGGCCTGGGAAATGAGATATGATGGAAATGCCTTTAGTAAATTGTGCTTGACACGTGCAGGCAGGATTTCCAGTTTGCAGTTGCTCTGAGTGCCCTTTTTGTCTCACTTGATAAATAACGTGCAAAGTGCCTTGCTTGGATTTGTGGTTTGCTAATCTTCTGTAATACAAGGTTGCCTGGGAATAAATCTGCATCAGTTAATCAGGGGATAAAGAGCTGCGATTGAGCAGACAGCTCCTGGGCAATGCTACAGTCGTTTAAAATGATCCCAGTAATTGCGTAATCCATTAATCAGTCTCAAATATCATGATAACTCTGGTGATATTCCGCGGGGCCTCTCTCACTGTTTGCGTAAGTACTGCTCCAGATCATTTCTGTCTACATGGAAAGTCAGAAAGACATATAACAGACCCTGGTGAGGAGGCTTTTAAAACCACTTTGATTTTCATTGTGCAAATAACATGACACAAGGGGTCTATTCACTAAACAGTGAATTGTAGCGAATTTAAAACAAATTTAGCAAACTAAGAAGAATTCATCTTCATTCCCCCAAATGGTTATTTTGACCTGAATTTGGTGGATGTCAGGATTCCATCCATTCACGCCATGTTGACATGCTGTAAAGCCATGTTCAGGGCAATGCAGTTCTGTAGCAGCAGTGTTGTATGACCAAAAAGTCCTGATTCAGTTTGCACAGTGTGCACCACGCTTATGCTAACCTTGCGCTTTTTGTGTTCATTTCTCTGGTAGCTTCAGAAGTGAGACACCAGAGAAAAAAAATCCAGGACTGCAGGACAGGGACCAAAACTCAGCACTGATCTGTCAAGGTGTGTGGCAAATGACCCAAACATATGTATATGCTCTCACACAGAGGCTCCTTGATAATGGACAAGGCACAATTTTCTTATAGGTTGGTAGCTACTACATGTACATACATCTGCAAGAAAGAGCTTGCAAAACAAGTACAGAAATATGAAAATATAATAGATAAAATATAAGAAAACTAATATGTTACAAGGAGAATAAACCTATGCTATGCCAAACTAATCTTACAATTATACAATTATGCAATGTGAACATGAGCTTAACAAGGTTAAATACCTGCTATAACACCTTATTACCACAAGGAGGAGTATGCATTCTGCCTTTTCCACTTCAGTCATGTGACTGTGAAAGTGCACATTGTGGTATTAGAACCCATTATTAGATAGAAGGTGTAGTTTCTATGACAACCACACTCTACAAATTAATTCTAGCCTTAAGTTCTTAACTTAAAAACCATTAGAAAAATAACCATCAATTCACAATAGACCAACTTCTAGACTTGTGAGTCTGTTTGACTTTAGTTTTGTAGGTTGATCTATATGCAGCTTTTGGCTGTTTAGTAGTGATGGGAGTTTAATCACCATCATGTGGAGTTGACAGTTATAGTTGTGTCATTACGATAGTAAGCAATAGCACTAAAGTCCAAAAGGTATCTGGAAACAGGAAGCACAATCCAAGTATTAATTGTAAAAAATCTAATCATTTTCACTGGAATGACACTAAAACAGTAACCAAAAAATGTTCAATGAGATAGTAACTTACATTAGAAGTTTTTATCTCCTGCTCTAGAAATTGAACTTTTATCCCAGGTAGGAAGCTCCTATATCTTGTAGCAGGCTATTAACAGAGCAGGGGATAATATGTTTTAAATTAAGCAGACTGTGCAGTAAAGGACATTTAAACATTAGATGAAGACTGTGTAAGTCACATGCAGGGAGGTGTGGCTAGGGCTGCAAACGCAAAGTGATTTAACTCCTAAATGGCAGAGAATTGTACAGTAAGACTGCAGGGACATGATCTATACGCCAAAACTGCTTCATTAAGCTAGAGTTTTTTTGGTGCTTATAGTGTGCCTTTAATGACGTTTTTTAAATGTATTGAACTGATATACACGAAAACAGCTTGGTTACATATACACATTCTCATTTAGACACGTAATGTCTCTTTATTACATATCCATACTGACATGCACATACATGCTTTCTTACCCCTACCTCTTACACACACATGTGCATACTCTCAAACATAGTACATGTTTCTTCTCTCGCTTTCACTTCCCCATAAAAACAGATGATAAATCTATAGACGTGAAATGACAATGGTGCAAAGTAATCAGCCTTACAGCTTAGTAATTACACTTCATCTGAGTAACACCCAGATCCCGCCCCACCACCAGCACCAACCAAATTCACATTAATATGTGTAAATAATAAAAGTATATAATAGATTAGTTATTGGGGATGGTGCAAGTAAAAGTAGAAAATATTACACCCAAGAAATCAATAGTGCTAGATGCGTGTTTCTAATTCTAAAACAGTTTAGTGAGAGGAATGACACTGACAGATCTTCCTGTATATACTGTTTATTGCAATCACAAACTCTGCATGTCCCCTCCGGCTGTGTGAAGATATGTATTTATAACACTACTTTCCTTTTTTTTTTACTAACCCTAATCGTTATCTTATACTATTAGTACAAGCAGCAGCTGACAGAGAATTATGGGAAATATAGTCAATTATAGTTGGAGGAGACCTGCCTACTCCTGGCTTACCACTTATCCTGTTAA